GGATGAGTCTAACAGGCGTCCATCTCAGAGAGGAGAGGCATGGTGTCTGCCTCATTTGCCTTTTTCCCAGCATTCTGTTCTGCCTAATCTGCCCATCTAATTTTCTGCCCTATTAAAAGGCCAATGAAAGTAACACATAGACAGATGACCCACCTACATCAAAAAAGACACAGTCTCTCCCCCTGCAGATGGTTCCAGTTCCATGGGAAATGGGCAAATATTCTATACTTAAAATGCAGGAGGATCCATGCCTTAACATACTATAAAAATCTGCCAGACTTAGAGGCAGTGAGAAGGGAAAGTGTCATTTTCTGCAGAGGGAACCACACCTGCAGATCTGAGAGGACTTAGTTACTGTTCTAATGCTGTGAAGAGACAACCATGAGCATTGTAATTTGTATAAAAGAAAGCATTTAACTGGGGTTTGCTCAGAGTTTCAGAGGTCTAATTCATTGTTATCACGACAGGGGAGCTTGACACCTGCAGTGGTCTGAATGAAAATGGTGCCCATAGACTCATAGGGAGTGGCATTATTGGAGGTGTGACCGAGTCGGAGAAAGTGTGTCCCTGGGGGGTGGACTTTGAGGTTTCAGAAGTTCAAGCCAGGCCTCGTGGCTCACTGTCTCTTCCTGCTGCCTGTGGATCCAGATGTAGCTTTCTCAGTTACCTCTCCAACACTATGTCCACCTGCATGGCGTCAACACCATGTCCACTTGCATGCCGTCATGCTTCCCGCCATGGCAATAATGGACTAAATCTCTAAACTGTGTGACTAGACTTTCAACTGCCCCTCAATTAAATGCTTTCCTTTATAAGAGTTTCTGTGGAAATGGTGTCTCTTTGTAGCAATAAAAACCCTAATAAGACAGAAGTACGCAGTACCTAATAAGACAAGCAGACATGGTGCAAGAGAATAGCAGAGAATTTTACATTTAGGTTTGGATCCACAAGCAGCAGGAAGAGAGACACTGGGCCTGGCTTGAGCTTTTGAAACCCCAAAGCCCACCCCCAGTGATACACTTCCTCCAACAAGGCTACACCTCCTAATCCCTGTCAAGTAGCACCACTCTCTGATGACAAAGCATTCAAATATGTGCACCTATGGGGCCATTCTTATTCAAACCACAAGGACTGCCCATTACAGTGGAATGAAACTGGTGGCATTTCTTGGTTCTTCTCAATCGTCTTAGATCAGAATCACAGGTAAGTCATATCCGCCAAGATAATGCTGTGAACATTTAAATGGGTGTCTGCTCCTCAGTGGTCAGTCTCTGGGTCTCTTCACTCACAGTTAAAGGTGAGAATCTGACTACTCATGGACAACTGCCTGAAGCAGGTGTCTGTCCCTCCTCTGGCTGTTAGGGTGACCAGGATTGCGTGTGAATGGGGAGCAATTGCACTGGAGCCACCTAAGGTCATGGCAGGGAGGACTTTGATGGTGAAAGAGACTTCTGCAAGAAGATCATGTGTGACCGTGGAATCAGGACTGTGGAATCAGGTCTAGGTCTGTTAACTGCTATTTTCTTCCTCTGGGGTTTAGTGTTGCAGCTCTTAGCTGCATAAGTGAGAATTTCCCAGGTAACAGCTTTTGTGTTTGTCATGTACTGTCCATTATTTTATATTTGCCCTTGGTTAATAAAGGAGTGAAGAAGTTCATAAACAAATCTTAGGATGAATTTTCAAACATAATGACATATAACATTCTACTCTAAGTATACAAGCTTTTAAATGAACTTCTCAAATTCTCTCTGTGTAAAATGTTTCAAAAGGACTGTTATATTTTTTCTGTGTTAACCATAGGTTAAAAAAACAGTATAACTAGCATAAACTATATTGTTCTTATAGTTTGCAGTGCTGACGCCTAGCCAAGTTTTCCTAATTTAAAATTTCATAGGGAGGCAGGTGGTTATCTGAGTTTAAGGCAAGCCTGATCTATAGAGCAAGTTCCAGAACAGCCAGGGCTACACAGAGAAGCCCTGTCTTGAAAAAGCCAATAAATGCATAACAAATAAGTGAATTTCATGAGAAAGGTAATTTCTTTCTTAGATATGTATAGATTTGGTTCTCATTTTGAGTTGAAGACTCCTTTAGATACATAAATCTGTTGCTTAATAAGTCATGTGATCTTTCAAAATGTGACTTCGGGATTCAGTAAATGTATACTTACAGGGAACCCAACAAAAGAAGACCCCAACTGTAAAGTACTGGTTGCCAATCCTGGGATGTGGGGAGAGGGGGGCATCACAGTCTAAAATTAGAACATCAGCCTGTTTGCATTATTTTGTTCTGTTCTTGTTCTTTTCTGTTCCTTGTTTGTGTTGTTCTGGGAATGCACAAGTCGTCCTCACCTCCCTCCCCTCTGTTCCACCTGCTCCCACCCCATGCTGCTTTAGCTCCCTGCTACTGAGTTACATGTTTAGCCTTAAAGTGAGTCCACCAGATGGGGACATTCTCGCTGGAGCCTTTCACCTATTATCCTCTTAATTTTTCTTCCTTTAGACACACCTTTTTATCATGTATTGATGTGGGAGTCCCCTCTGTGTGCTGTGATTACCATTAATGAATAAAGAAACTGCCTTGGCCTGTTGATAGGGCAGAACATAGGTAGGTGGGGAGGAATGGACTGAATGCTGGGAGAAAGAAGGGCAGAGTCAGGGAGATGCCATGGATCTGCAGCTGGAGGTAGATGTGCTGAAACTTTGCTGGTAGGCCACGACCTCGTGGTGATATACAGATTAATGGAAATGGGTTAAATTAAGATGCAAGAGCTAGTCAATAAGAAGCTAGAGCTAATGGGCCAACCAGTGTTTTAATTAATGTAGTTTCTGTTGTGGTTATTTTGGTTCTGGGCAGCCAGGACAAATAAGCCGCCTCCTCCTCCAATAATGCATAGTGCTGTGGGTACTGAAAATATTGAGTTAGGAATAATTACAAGTAACAAGGGACCCCTGAGATTATATGTTTCAAACCTCTGAAGTTTGGAAGCAGCATACAGACAACACTTCAGAGGAACAGGAAGTCACGTGCTCCAATCTCTGGTAGTCATGTGTGGTTTTCTGAACTGTGCTCTTGGTATCACCCAGTGAAGGGGGGGGGAACCCTAAATGCTAAGTGTTTTTATTTCTCAAGGTCCAAAATTAATGTTCGTGTGAAACAAGGACAGAGTGACAGGACTTACATCACAGAATGCAGACCGAGACTGCGGCTTCCAACTTTAATGCTTTGTTTATAAGTAGAACCGTGACATTGGAGGAGAAAAATTTCTCTAGGACAGTGAATAATTCAGCTATTCTTTCAACATTGCCTACAGTTTTAGTGAAAACTTTCTATTCTCTTCATGGCCCTCTTTGAAAGCATGGGTTTATTATGACATCGTCCATGGTCCTCGCTTCCTTCTTCTGTTCCTGTCCCGCGATGCCCCTCACTTGTTGGCAATGTAGATGATCTTGTGCTTCTCCATGACGCTGATGTCATGCTCCAGCTGTTTCATCTCTCCTTCCAGCTTCTGCTTGCGAATCTTCTTCGGGATGGAATCTATGAAGACGGAGAGGGACTGGAACTCTTTGTGCACCTCTTCCCAGTTCTTCTTCAGCCCCTGCAACACCGCAGAAGGAAGTGATGAGAAACTGTGCCGGTAATCAAGAGCGAGTAGGTGGAAGCAGCTTTAGAAATGGTAACATGTTGGTCCAGGACTTGGCCACAGTAGCAGAAGACACGCACCGAAGCCAAGCCCTGCTCTCTGTGGTCTGCTCCATCCCTGCTGGGAGTATTTACTTGCTTCACTGTCACTGTGGCCGTCACTTGTTCTTAGCATCTCATATGTAAGTGCGGAGTGGAACCAAGCTCATGGCAGATGTTTTGGTCAAAACCAACTATCTGAAAATTGATAGTCAAAGCTGGTTTTGGAAAATATTTTTCAAAAATTTATTTGAAAAGCTTTACTTCCTAATGCATGTTTATATATTTGTGTACACATGTGTATGTATGAGTGTGCATGGCCATGTGTACAAGTCAGTGAGTCTGGAAACAATCTCATGTGTCATCTTTAGGACCACTCCTGTACCTTTTTTCAGGCAGGGTCTCTCACGGGTTTGGGGCTCATTGTTTAGACCCTGGAATCATCTGCTTCTTCCCGACCACTGCTGGCTCACAGCCCATGTCACCATGCCTGGCATTCTGATACAGGCTCTGGAACTCAAGCTCAGGTCCCCGTGTTCACAAAGAATGCACTTTATCGACCGTACTGCCCCCACTCCCTAATTTCACCTCCCTGCCCAGAATTTTCTGTTTTATCTGTATTCTTCAACACAGAAGCCACACCAGAAGCCTGGGTGTTTGACTGGCATATCATATTTTATTTGACAAAATGTTATTGTAAGGAAAAATTTTCAATTTTACAATGACCTTTTATATATCTTTTCAATATATTATGAAGAATAAATCATCTTCCACATAGTCAGGGGTCCATCCTTCCTGTTAATGTATTCTTGAAATATCATTAAACATAGAACACATGCTAATTCAATAACACGGTTCATGTTTTATGGGCTCTAAAATCAACAGATTCAAATTAAGGACCTCTTAGGAGCTATAAATGCCATTTCCATCTCTGCCTAGTTCCATTTCTCATCACAGTGCACCAGGGGCCCCACTGACAACATGCTCTTAAGATACGGATGGAATTCATCCAGTGAGGTTTATAAACTAGCGCCGCTTCTTTGTCGTTGTGAGATCATAGATAACTTTATTTATACACATGACAAGAAGAGGCCAGGAGCTTGTGGCTCATCCAGCCTAGCTGGATTGGGAAACTTTAGGTTCAGTGAGAGACCCTTTCTCAAAGAATATGGTAGACCGTGAAAGAAGTTACCCCACATTGACCTCTGATCTCCACACCTATACATACATGAGCACACATGCATACACACGCACATGCTTGCATACACACACACACACACAAGTGCATACTCACCCACACTAAGAAAACATAGGCAAAAAAGAGCTTTGTAAATTCACAAAACAAGTAAAAGGATGTCCCAAAGGGGCAGAGAAAATGACAATTGCCTCAAGAATAAGGAGAAAGCCAAGTTGAGCCGTTTCTGAAGGTGAGCCATGCAGGAGACAGGCAGTCCCACCACGGGGACAAGCCCAAAGCAGCGTTCACAAGCTGCAATTCCAGCTGCAGATTTTGGTGAGACAGTGAGAAGTCCCACAGTGTCACGCAGGGTGACTCAGGGAGCCAGTTAGCATCTTGAGCAATCATCTATTAAAAACCAAGCTTCCTTGAGGCTTCAGCTTGGCCTGCCACAGCCCCAGGTGTGGGAAGTGAAAAGCAGCAGGCTGAAAGCTGACAAGTCCAGGCTGTAGGTGACAGGAAGCTGGGCAAGGAAGTGCATGGGGACCAGGAACAGATCTCATCGACACAGCATAGTCCTGAAGTCAGATTGCTCCTAGTGTCAACAACCTCTGGAGCACGAATTCTGACCTTCACGCCCAGAGAGCCCAGAAACCTGACATTCCGGGAATGGCCGATACACCTGCATCTCTCTCCGACATGACAGAAGTTCTCTAGAGTTCTTGCTAGGATGAAGACTGTTTCTGCTTGATCAGAGCTCAGTGCTGCAGCTCCTTCTCACACTCCCAAGGCAGATAGAAGATGGCCCACATTCTAGAGTCATCTCTGGCTAGAGCAGTAACCACCCCAGGGATACAATCCATGGTGTATCTGGAGGGTGAGACCTGCCAAGTCCATAGGATGAAAAGCTACCTGTGGTCAGCAAAGATTGCTGGTAAGGAAAGGAGACCTGCCAAAGTGAAGACAAACCTGGTGAATATCTGTAGTTTTTTCAAAAGAGATTTAGCATCAGTATAAAGCTGGGGAGAAATGGGAGTCCACTAGTTTAACTGAGCCTGCCTCCATTTCTGAACATAGAAGTGTCAATTTTCAAGGGCCTTGAATAGTCAAAATCATCCTTATCAGAAAGAGCAATGTTGGAGGAATCTCAATACCTGATCTCAGATTATGTTACAGAGCTATAGTAACAAAACCAGCATGGTACCGGCACGAAAATAGATATGCACATGGATGGGATAGAATAGAGTATCTACAAATAAACCCAGAGATATAACCACCTAATTCTTGATTAAGGTGTCTAAAATATACATTAAAAAGAGACAGTTTCTTTAAAATATAATACTAAGGAAATAAAATTTCCATGTGTAGAAGAATGAAACTGCTCACACAATGCTACAACCAATTCCAAAATGGGCCAAAGAGATCTTAATGTAAAATTTGAAGCTTTGAAATGACTGGAGAAACATACAGGTGAAATACTTGAAATCACCAGTATAGTCAAGGGCTTTCTCTAAAGCACAGGAAATCACTCCCCAAATTGACAAACAATATAACACAAAATTAAAGAACTTCTTCAGGGTCTGGAGCGAGGACTCTTCTAGAAGACCACAGTTTGATTTACAACCCCCACATGGTATTTCATAACCATCTAACTCCAGTTCCAGGGGATTCAACAACTTGACTGGTTATGGTGGGCACCAGACATCTATGAGCTACACACACACACACACACACACACTCTGTAGGTAAAACACCCATACATGCAAGATAAATTTAAAATGTGTGAAAAGTTTCTTCATGGCAAAGGAAACAATCATCAGAGTGAAGAGATCGTCTTCAGAATGGGGAACAAAAACAATCACAAATCAACCAGTACTTTGGCTAAGAAACTGAACAAATAGTTCTCAAAGAAAGAAATACAAACGCTAGCCAATAAATATCTTAAAAATGTTCAATATCCTTAGCCACTAAGGAAATGCAAATTAAAACTTCTTTGAGATTCCATCTCACCCCTTTTGGATGGATCAAAAACATAAATGACAAAAGAGACTGGTGAGGATGTGGGGAGAGGAGTTCTTACAGCTGCTGTAGGACGATGAACCCGGTACGGTCACTATAGAAATGCTACATCACTCCTGGTTAAGTACCAGCCAAACTCATAACCAACACACTGGAGAGATCATGGCATTTCCATGATTATTTATGCAGTATTCACAAGAAGTAGGAAAGGAAACAAACCCAGATCTCTGTCAACAGATCAGGAGATAAGGAAAATGGGTAAGGGTGCACAACATGTGTGTCAGGCCTTAAAGAAAGAAAAGCATTCCATTTGCAGGAAAGGATAACAATCAAAAATAGCGATTTTAAGGGAAATAGTACAGACTTTTAGGGACAAATATTATATTTTCTCCCTCATAAAGAGAACATAAAGATAAAATCCTAATGTGTGTGTGTCATATGATCAGAGAGAAGTCTTGAGCGGGGAGGAGGAAATCTCAAGCAAAGCAGTAGAAAGAGAGGATGATGGAACCATGCGACATGAAAGCAAGGGAGGGCTATTTATGAGAGAATGGATTGGCCAGAGCAGGCCAGCGTATGGTCACTTAGGGGAGGGAACAAGCTAGGACAGAGTATCAAGCTACATGTGTGTGAAATGCATACTGAACCCCATCACTGATGCTAATTTTTAAAACTGGTAACTGTCTTAGTTAGGGTTCCTATCACTGGGAAGAGACACCATGACCATTGCAACTCTTATAAAGGAAAACATTTAATTGAGGTGGTGGCTCCCAGTTTTAGAGGTTTAGTCCGTCATTGTCATGGCGGGGAGTGTTGCAGTGTGCAGGCAAACTTGGTACCTGAGAAGGAGCTGCTTCATGTTGATAAGCAGGCAACAGGAAGTACACTGAGAAACTCGGTAATATCTTGAGCACAGGGGATCTCAAGTCCCCCTTCTGCCATCCTACAGTGACACACTTCCTCCAACAAGACCACACCTCCTAATAGTGCCACTCCCTATGATATTATGGGGGCCAATTATATTCAAACTACCACAGTAACAAAAAGACAAGGAAATAGAAAGGGAAAGAGATCAGTAGGAGGGAGAGGAGACAGGAGAAGGCAATGAAGGGTTGGATACAATCAAAGCACATTAAGTGCGTGCATGAAAAATGTCACAGTGATCCACACTAATTTGTGTAATTCATGCTAAGCAAAATAAGTGGGGAAAAGAGGGTTAGAAGTTTCTTATATAACAAGGACATCGCAGTGAATAGAATCCTTTGGGGGACAATGGAGTTTCAGTGATTTAATTCTGTATTTAGGTAAAGCAATGAAAAGATAGGATACACTACATAAGATACATTGGTTGGGGAAATGGAACAGGTGATTTGGGCCTTTGTTGAGTCAGCTTAAACCAGAGATCTGGGGATGGTGAAAGGTAGAGGCCATTGTTGCCCAGGTTTAACTCTCCCAAGAGGGAGATGGGTCAGTGCTGCTTTTAATAGCATATGAGCTGCATCCTGAAGAGACATTCTCAGAGGGACTCTGCTTCCCTCTGGTCCTTCATTACGCAACCTGAACATGTTTCCACAGTGCACCACAGGGTGCCTACCTCTAGGAGAAAATGTACACATTTATACACTTTCAGATATCAAAGGGTTTCCAAGAGAGTAGGGGAATATTTTCACATTACTTGCTGTCCCAGAAGCACATCTTTTCCTGTGGCTTTCTTTCTGAAAGATAGCTTGCTCTTAACTCCGAGAAGGTACAGCAGTATTTGGATCAAAGCCAACAGCTAGGGATGGAAACGCAATAGAATTTTGTATCATGGTGATGCAGCCCCGCGATTTTCAAACCTTTTATTTTTGTTTAATAATAAGGCAAGTATAACTAGAGTTAGAGTTCACGAGAGTAAGGACTGTGCTTACCCTGTGTTATCCTCCTGCCCCTAAACACATGGATGTCCACAAAGAAGGACCAGATGAGCACACAGATGAGTCAGCATTTACTCTGCTCATCTGTAAAATGAGGCGTTTGGGATCATCAGACGAGACGGTCCCTCCCAGGTGTGACTTTTATGAAGGTGAGCTCAGGGCATACACCCGCAGTGCCACACAACCCTGCATCCTTGAAATGGGTGGGAAGAAAGGTCCTGGTCTGGTCTGGAGGACAGCAGTTGGCTTGGTAACTGGCTACGGAGTGGGGCATTCTGAGAAGGAGTCACCATTTTGCCATTGCTGCACCAAGAGAGGTTCTGGGGTGACCAGAAGAGGAAGTCTAAGGGTTCTCCACTACATCCACAAGGCACAGGAGGGAAGAGCCTTTGCAATCTCTAAGGAAGACCATCCCTGTTACCGTTTTCCAGCGTCACGCAGAGGTTAATGACCTGGCTTTTGCAGAGGTGCGTGCTTCCTGAAGCTGCGGCTAAAAGGCTCGCTTCTCCAGATGACCGGCCTGACACCGCCCCTCCCCCTCTTCCAGCACTTTGGTGGTACCTCCTCAACACAGGCGCCCCTGTTCTCTAGCCCCATCTGGTGTCTGGGTGTTTCTCACTCTGCACTCTCGGGCTTCACTCAACATCTCTCTCTTTTGGAGCTGACTACCACCTTGGGACGTCCTTAATATCCACAAACCCACATTCCTGTCTGCCCAGTCACCCATCAAACTACAGCATTCTCTATAACAAAAAATGATCTTTACCTTTGGTGCTATCTTCATGGCACAGGCTAATAATACTGTGTACAAAATAGATACCTAATAACATTTTATTGGTGATTATGATGCCATCAATTAAATGTTAAGACTCTGAAATGGCATATAACCCATTTTCAACAGAAATTAATGAAAGAAAGAGATTTTTTTATGGTGTGCACGGGTATGGGCGTGTGTGCTATGATGACTGTGTGGACATCACAGGACAACCTCAGGTATTGATCCTCGCCTTCTACCTTGTTTGAGACAGGGCCTCTTGTACGTACCAGGCTAACTGCCCATGAGCTTCTTTCCCATGAAGCGATGCCTTCCATGTGGGCACGGGAGCCTGGGGATTACAGGCATGCACCATCATACTCCACTTTCTACGTACCCACGTTGGTCAGAAAAACTCTTTCCTGCTGGACCGTCTCCTCTTGTTTTGTGAAGTCACTGGATACTGTTTGGTAGGGAGCTTTCAAATAAACGTTAAAAGGAATCACTTCTTTAAGGGACAGCATGGTGGCAGAGGAGGACGAGCAGGTGTTTAATGAATGCCCTGCACAAACGACAGCGCCATGCCCTGCTCCTCTGGGTACCCCACACTCAGACAGACCTCGCCCATAAAACTACAGTGGACATTGTCTTATGCCCCTTTGTTCAAAATAGAAGGAACATATGTAAAATCTAATACCCACTTAGTTAATAATTTGGAAAGTTGAATCATTGGAATGAAAAAATGTGGATGTGGATAGCTTCAATTATTCTAGAGCTCCATCTAGTGAAAAATACTTCATCTATGAGATTTTAAAAAATAAATTTACTGAATTAAAGTGATTATTTTCTCACTTTTTAAAGTATCAGTTTGTTGTAGGAGAAAATGGGCTTCCTTACAACTGATACCAAATTAGAAATAAAGTATTTTACGAATCTCCGACTACAGGTTTTTTTCTCTTTCCAATGAGTCGACTCTGCTCTGTGCACTTGTGCTAGACCCCAAGGGACACTTCTGACTGAAGTCAAAGCCTTGGCTTTAGTGATGGAGCTGATGCAGGCTAGAGGGTCAGAGAGCAGTGACTCCAGACTCCAGAGGCTCACCTGCAGAACCGCCTCCCTTTCTTCGTCAGAAAGTCTCTTCATAGCTGCTTTCTTAAGGTTCTCCTGGATGTAGTTATCATACTCTTCTTGAGCTTTCTTAACATCCTCATTCCGCTTGCAGATGTACTCAGGTGTGACACCGTAATCCTGGGAGGAGTTTTCGGAAAAAAAAAAAAAACTAATCAGCATCCTGCGTGCAGTCTTCTCTGTGTGAGCATAGCAACAAAGGACTCGAGAGCAAGCGATTTTATTGTCATATATATATATATATATATATCCAACAAACAAAACCTCTGAAAATTGACAAAATCCCTCAATTTCTTTCTCCTATTCTCCACCCTCCCCTTCCCGCAAGTTAAAGCCGGTTCATCCCAGTCACTTCAAATGCTGATGCTGGACCAGAAAGCTGGCTCAGTGGGTAAAGGTGTTTGCCCAAGTCTGATGATCTGATTTCAATCCCTGGACCCACATGGTGGAGGCAAGTTGTCCCCTGACCTTCATATATGTGCATATGTGTACACACACACACACACACACACACAGACACACACACACACACCACACTAAAAGAACAGAGATCTTGTAGCAGTTTATTTTGTTTCTCTTCAGAGTCTCACCAGTGTCTGTTCTTAAGCTCTAGACTTGAGGGTTCTCAACTTGTGGGTGGCAGCTCCTTTGGTTAAATGTCCCTTTCAGAAGTGCTGCCTAAGATCATCAGGCAACACAGACATTTACATTATAATTCATAATGGCAACAAAATTACAGTTATAAAGTAGCAACAAAAATAACTCTATGGTTGGGTCACCATAACATAAGGAACTGTATTAAAGAGTCTCAGCATTAGGAAGGTTGAGAACCACTGGTCTATACTAGTTTTTAGACATAGTAGCCAAGGCAGGCCTTGAATGCTCTATGTAGACCAGACTGGCCTCCAATTTACAGATATCTACCTGCCTCATTTTCCTTAGTGCTGAGACTAACATCACCACACCAGCAAGTTTACTTTTAGGAGTTGGCTTTTCTAGGGCTTGGGAGAAGGCTCAGTGGTTAGGAGCATCTACTGCCTTTGCAGAGGACCTGAGCTCTGTCGCCAGCACACACCCAGGTGTACAGAACCATTTAGGCCCAAAGGATTTGCTGTCCCCTCCCTCCTGGAGTGCCTGTATTCACATACATAAGAACACACATGCAAACAGAGTTTACAAAAACAAGCCTTTAAGGAAAACACAGAGTTGGTTTTTTCTTTTCTATATTTTATGTAAATCACTTTGACCTGAAACTCATATCCCAGAGGTCTCTATTTTTATAATCTGGTTAAATAAAAGGAGACAAACCTTTATAAACCATAAGAACAAACCCTTAATGGTCCCATGCATAACAACTTTACGGGAAGCTTGGCTCAGCCCCCTACGGTTGTTTTGGAAAGGCAAGCTATGTTTTCAGGTTCCTGAGCTGCTTACAGGGACTGGTGGTGAGGCCATCAACTGAGGTTCTTTCAAATTAGTGAAGACATTGTCACTATCTAGAGAAACATGATTTCTCTGTGTTCAGTTCTCAAATAGTATTTGAGAATTTATTGAGTGCTGAAATAATAGTGAATAGAAAAGCAAAGTTTTCCCCATTGAATTCTTCTTGTGTAGAAAGATGTGTCCAATCAACCTCAAAGAAAGGATGTTTAAAATCTGTACCTGGGGATGGAGAGATGGCTCAGAAGTTAGGAGTATTGGCTGTATTTACAGAGAATCTGCGTTCTCTTCCCAGCACTCACCTTGTGGCCTACAACCATCTGTAACTCCAGTTTCAGGGGACCTAATAACCTCTTCTGGCCTCCATGGACACCAGGCACGCACACGGTGCACAGAGATACATGCAGGCAAATTACTCATATGCATAAAAATAAATAAATCATAAAAAGGTGGTGAATATGTGCAGACTTTTCCTTGTCATTATTCCCTAAACAGCATCATATACCAGTGACGTATAAAGTATTTGCCCTATATTGGTTATGTTAAAAAATCTAGAGATAAAATAAAGCCTGTATCAGGTTATGTATGCTACACACATCCACTAAGCCACTCATAAGAGAGCTCTGAGCATTTGTGGATTTTGGTACCCACAAGCAACCCCCTGTAATACTGAGAGGGGAAAGTATAAAATAACAGGTGTGCATGCTCTGAAGAAAATAATAGCTAAGAAGGTAATGAAGAAACTGAAGATAAAGAAGCCAGGGAGGCGACACTGAGGAAGTCAGTGCGGGATCTGGTAGCCATGGAAACTACCATGAAGTCCTCTTCTCCTTCTGCATGTGAGCTATGGCACATGCAGACCACCCTGCCCTATAATAAAAATACCTTTTTAGAGGCTAGATTATGCTTGGCATAGTATTTCAGAAAAGGGACCGGTATTATACATTTTAGAAAAGAAAAATCTGGCAAATGAGGAAAAGCGTCAGTGATTTTGAGTGGTCCTACAAGCTAACTGGCTGGAGACTGATGAGTCTCATCACTAATTGTTATATTATAATGTCTATTCTCTTTGGTGCTTTTATGAGGTGCTGGATATCATCATATGCTTAGTTTTTTATTGTCGTTTAATGCTCACTATACCCCTATGATCGATCCAATGGCTTGTCTCAGATCCCAAAGTTAGCAAGTGACAAACTGGAATTCAAAACAATAGCTCACTATTATTGTTATAAACCTCATATGCTTGTTTATCTTTTAATTTTGTCCACAATTTCAAATCACAAATGGCATATACTTCATTTAGAACAAACCACAAAAAAAGGAAAGGAAAAAAAGTCCACTTGTTTTTCCTCAAATCTTTTTACCTTCACCATCTGGTGTCCATTTGGCACAAGCTGGGGTCATCTGGGAGGAGGGAACCTCAATTGAGAAAATTTGAGCCTCCATCAAACTGGCTTCTAAACAAGTCTGTTGGGCGTTTTTTTTTTTTTTTTTTTTTTTGATTAATGGTCGATATGGGAGGGACCACTGTGTTGTTGCCTCCCCCGGGCAAGAGGTCCTGGGTTGTATAAAAAAGCAGACTGAGCAAGTCAGTAAGCAGCACCCCTCCATGGCCTCTGCATCGGTTCCTGTCTCCAGGTTCCTGCCTTGAGTTTCTGACTTCCCTTCATAATGGACTATAAGCTGTAAGATTAAACAAACCCTTTCCTCCCTGGGTTGGTTTGTTCATTAGTCTATCATAGCCATAGAAATCAAAGGAGACGCGACCCACCTCAATTACTAATCGTTAACTCCGAATAGTGAAAAGTTGAACAAATCTGTGAATAGCAACACCCTGAAAACAAGTGTGTGCTGCTTTTATGCTTGATAAACACACACAGGTAGTAGGCTGATCTGCTATCTTTGTGTCTGTGATGGATACTTCCACTTTTTTTTCTGTTCTAAAAGAAAATGTATTGACATGGGCAACATAAACAGAGACATCTGGAGAGGAGTTGGCGTGTGCAGTAGTCTCCAACATAACCAGCAAAGGAGAGGAAACTTAGGCAATGAGGCATCAATAATGGGTTGGAAGTAGCTTGAAGGAGCCAGGAGTCCACTTTTCTCAAAGATGTGACAAGAACCACAAGCACCTTAGATGTGCCTCAAGAGAAAGAAGCATTCTGAGAAGTCTTAGTAAAGTTCCCAGCATGTGGCCAATGACCAGAAAACAACTGAGTTCTTCCAGAGGTGATCTTGGCCTGCTGGATGGAGCCATTTCCCAGAGAACTGGTGCTAAGGTCTGAAAGCAGCCTGGAGGCCATTTGTAGATCACTAGACACCTGGACTCATTCCTCACTACTGAAGTCCCCCTTCCCACTATTTTCTCTTCTCTTCCTCTTTCCTTTTCCCTTTCTCCCTCCATTCCTCTCGCTCTCTTTCCCCTCCCTCCCTTCCTTTCTTCCCTCCTTCCCTCCCTCCTTCCTTCCTCTTTCTATTCTTCCTCTATTTCTGGCCACAACTTACTATTATTTGTTATTAATATTTAGGATGTTGAAGCCTCTTTTAGTACGTATTCACAAACATACTTTTATGCTCTATAAGTATATAAATAGGGAAGGATTTGTATAGCTTTCCTTGTACACTTTTTGATTTAAAAACCCTTTTAACAATTAACATTTGGCAGATAAAATCATCCCTTTCTGATGAGCACTTTTTCAGATAGAAATTAATGACCCAAATAATGAATCCCGGTGCAGTGCTCTTAATCTTTACCCAAACTCAACTCAAATCAACGCATTTACACTAAAATAGCGATGTGGGTTGTTTTGGAGAGATTGGTAGTTTGGGTGGTTTTGAAGCCTCATCTGCCAAGTTCTCTCATTCTGCTCCCAAGTTGAATGACTGCATCCCAAGATCTCCTGAAAGGTGGGTTCCTCAGGATTTACAATAGTGACTGCATTTAGTGACCTTTTTACCTTACTGATATTAATAGCTTTTAGAGAACGTCTGCTATAGTTATTAAATACACTAATAACTGGAATTGAGGAAGACAGCATTCATGTTTTAGATGTGCACCCCACACAGACCGCAGGGCGGTGGGAATGCACAGGCTTCATGGTCTGTCCAGGGAACAACTCATAGACCTGCAGGACTCTGGAATCTCTGATCTCTCGCTGACAGATCAAGGACTACCTTTTTGTTGATGTATTTGGGAACTAGTCCGGAAGTCTCAAGATCATGCTTGTCTCCAGTTCTTTTGTCAACATAAATTGGCTTGGGCTTTTTGGCCACGCCCATGATGACGTCAGCTGCATTTGTGTTTATGAAGTTTTTTCCACTCTGTATTCCCATGACTGGATGATCGGTCCTCAAGGGCACTGGAGGCTTCTTGGGAACACATCTATTAAACTGTTTTTCTGTTAAACATAACATTTTATTGTTAATGTTTGCAAATAAACATTGTTACTCAACACTAGGACATCCAGTTATTTACCACTGGTATTGCAGTCTCACTAATGTTATATGCAAATACTTAAGATAAAAAAGTTATTATTTTGTGTACATCAAATATGTATTGCCTTTCATTTGTCAATTATACCTCAACTGTAAATAGTCAAAATATAAAATTAAATGCAATGTGATCAATTTGATGTTGAAAAACAGTATAAAAGAGTAGGAGGGGAATAATGATAGATCACTACTATATTTCTGATTGATATTATAAAGACTACAACACATACTCAGTTTTCCCATTTAAAATAAGTTTATATAAAAATAGATCATTTTCAGCGTGCTGTCGATATTTTTTTAAGAAAAAAATCTAACAAAGCCATTAAATAAATTAACAAAATGATGTTGGCAGCCCAGTGATCTGTGGATATTTTCACAGAAACTATTACAATGAGTAATTGCTGTGTATTAAACATGCAGTTTTACAGGTTACCAATATGACCAAGATTGCCTACTTTTTCCTTCCTAGGATGTCCCGTCATCCTAAAGGAAGTCATGAAACATATCTTCTGTCTCTAGTGCACACAGTCCTGGTAGCAGCAGGTGGAACTGTTTCGTTTAACACAGCCTTTTCAGTGTAACAGTTCCAACATGCCATTTTGATATAGCCACATCAGCATGGTTGTCTATTCTAAGTGACAGGTAATTCAAGTGTGTTTCTAAGAACTAAGGCAGCCGCTCTCTCATCAGGACCTTACTCCAATCCTAACTGTACCCTGGTTACTATGGTCTGGCTTCATTTACTTCTGCATTAGCTGACTTTGTCTTCTTAGTGATGCTGTGGGGGACATTCATCAGCAAAGACTTCTCACACATGGTTTAAGCCATTAGAAAGTCTTTATTAACCAGCCAGTAACTACACCGGGTGTTTGGGATCTCAGCACTGAGCCTTTCTCAGGGTGAGCTAGCTGTTAAGCACAAAAGGTAAGTTAGTACATTTAGAGACTTTTCAGAACGATGGACTTTGATGGACTAGGTCTTTGTTTTAGTTTTGGCTGGCGGTACTGTCTCCATGCGGAGTTTTACAGTCTAAATGGTGACTCCATCATGGAGTCAGTTGTGCTAAGGTCTGAAAGCCTGCTAAGGCCTGGTGTCCTGTTACAAGTTAGCTTATATTACTTCTATTTTCAAAGGGAAATATGTAATTACTATTAAAAGTCTATGGGTCAGATTAATCTTTTCTTGGGGCTGACATTTCTTTCCAGAATTTATATAGTGAACCCATAGATCCAGTACCTTAGGATGTGAATATTACTTGGGAGTAAGGTCTTTAAGGTAATTTAGATAAAAAGTTATTAGAGTGGTCCCTAATTCATTCAAATATCGCTTCAACAACTGGTAATGACCATTGTAATTTCCTTCACTTAATAAAAAAGACTGGAGTCCAGATGAGGGGCAACCTTGCTCATCAATCAGACACGGTACCTGGGGTGCCGATCTGTCTGATAAACGCTTAGAATTAAAGATACAAGCCAGGAGAAAACAACGAAGCACTGGGTGTTGGAGGGGAGGCTTCTTGGAGAGGCCAAGAAGTAGCTCAAGAAGCCTGCCTCTCCAGGAGTCTGTGCAGGCGGCACCACCCTCTGCGCTCAGTTTACTCTTCCCACTTGCACTTTCTCCAAGTCGCCCAAGCCCCGTTCCCTGGGAGGTAAAGTCGCTACTGCCTGTGTATATTTAATACTTGTTGATGGCAAAATAACGGGGTAACTAAATCACCTGCCGATAGTCCTAACGTTTAACACAGCAAGAGATTAAACCTACTAGGCGGTAGTGTTTTTTCCTTTGAGTGTTTCTTTAGAAAATCCTTTGGGGAAGGTACGTCAACTTTGGCGGGCCCCATAGTTTTCATTGCAGTTTTGAATTTCTTCATGTCATCTTTTACAGCTGGTTTAAACACTGATGTATACCTGAAATTAAAAAAAAAATAAAGTCATAGCATTTACATTTCTAGTGCAAAATACTTAAAGCTTAAGAACAGGCATACATTTCTCATTGATAACGGAGAATGGGCATAAACTCCACCCACCGCACTTATGAACTACAGGCTGCAGGAGGTGCTGGGGCAAAGGTGTTCATTTACTTCCGGCATCGATTGGGGTGTCTCCTCTCTCACTGCCGACGTTAGTGACGTGTGTCTCCCCGCCCCAAAGTCCCAGCCACTCAGTCTTGCCAGCAGTTGAATCATCTTCGCAATGAACCCACATTCGCTGTTTTTCTCGAATGCTCACTCATGTTTCCCCTTCAGTGATTTCTTTGCTGCCCTTTAATATTTAGTCCCCTCGTTTTACATGTAATTTTAAAAAAAGTTTATTAAGATATAAATATATTTGGTTTTTAACATTTAGAACTTTCTGTGTATTAAAGCTATAAATTTTCCTCTAAGCACTGCCTTGGCTGCATCCCAAACATTTGAAAGGGCATCGTTTACCAGACTTGGAGACACACACCTTTAATCTCAGCACTGGGAGGCAGAGGCAGGAAAATATGAGTTTGAAGCCAGCCTGGTTTACCAAATGTGTCCCAGGACAGCCAGGGCTTTACAGAGAAACTCTGTCTCGGAAAAAATAAAAATTTGAAAAAAAAAAAAAAAAGAAAGAAAGGAAGGAAGGAAGGAAGGAAGGAAGGAAGGAAAGACATCTTCTATTTTCATGCAACCCTAAATGTCTTTTATATCATCTTCCTTTAGAAGTATGCTCATATGTGTTTGCTCTGTTTTCATAGATTCGGGCTTCCCAATACCTTTTCACCGACTTCTAATTTAGTTCCACTGTAGCCGGGGAATATACTTGGTGTGACTTCAGTCACTGGAACTAGATACTGCTGCATCTGTATACACTGGAGCGGTTGCAGCCTAGACAAAGCACAGCTAGCCTCGCAACTGCATTCCCGGGACTGGAGAATGGCCTCCCTATCTCAGGGAGAGGTCATCCTTCTCTTTCCAGTACATGGCTTGGAGAAGGACACACATGAGGTGGTGATGAGGGGACACCTGCCCAAGCCAGCCAGATCACTGAATCAGCTGGTTCTTGAACTTGATGTTTTTATTGTTAGAGGGATGTTCTCATAGACTACATAGAAATTTTAGCCAATCACTGCTTTTATTTTGTATGTCTGTGTCATTTGATTCTAATGTGTTTTTTAGTCTGGTGAGATGGCACAGCAGGTTAAGAGACTTGTCAGAAAGGTTTTGATCTTCGGGACCACGTGGTAGAGAGAGAGACTGATTCCTGCAGATTCCATGCATCACCACGCCTGACTTAGAGGCTGGCTGACACTGTCCTTAGCTCGCAATGCGCTGTTCTCTTTATTCCCCATGTCTCATTTGTGTTGCTGTGGCGTCTTCAGATTTGTTTTGTTTTGTTTTGTTTTTATTAGTGCCTTGGCTGTTGCTGACCCCACCCAATATTTTCATTTTGGACAGTCTTCTTCCCATCTGAAAGTTAGACTTGTATCCCCCCCTTTCATCTCTTCATATCTTATTCCTGCATCCCTCTACCTCTTTGGACATGATGTTGAAAATGTCTGTCTTAAATGCCTTTGACTTGTAATTTTCTTATTTGTGACATTTCTAGCTGTTTAGATTGGCTGCTTTTCTTTTAGGATATATCTTATATTTTCTTGTTTCTTTGCATGTCTGTACATTTTTGTTCTTTTTGTTTGTTTAACACAGGGTCTCTCTACATAGCTCTGTCGGTCTTAGAACTCATTTTGAAGATTAGGCTGACCTCGAATTCACAGAGATCCACCAGCCTCTGCTTCCTGGGTATGGGTATTTAAGGCATTCAACACCATGCTTGGCTTGCCTGTACGTATTTTATCAGATGCCAAGTAATGCAAATTTTATAGTGTTGATTCCTGACTTCTTTTTTTATTTAACTTTTTTCTTCTTTTATTGCTTTAACATTTCTTTAGTTTGAGTCTGGAAGGCAGTTGTCATAGTTGGAAAAAGTGGTAATTTTAAGGTTAGATGTCAAGTCTTCAGCTTAGGAGCTTTGCTCGGATTCTGCCCCGTGGCAATGCGCTCTGTGAATAAGGAGACCTCACCCTAGCTGTAAGGGGGTGAACTTGGAGCTGCTGCTTCCGAGGGTCATTTTCTTGGTGTTGTATTTCATCACACATATATACTATCAATCAAGGAGTTCAAGGAAATCTCATGTGGGTTTCTGTTCCTGTCTAGGCAGCTCTTTGCTTTCTGCTCCATGATGTGAATTATAGCTACTTTGTCTTTCCAGCTCCAAACTGTCCTTATAATTCCAGGATAATCAAGGGCTTTGTCTCCTTTCTCTGGACTGTGGCCAGGAAGTTGTCCCTGGAGTGTCTCTTAGGGCAACTGCAAGCCAGCCTCATTCCTTTAGGGAGGGCTGAGCTGTGTGTCCACTCTCCATGGTTTGAAATCCTTGGTTCTGTGTGTTCTTAACTTGCCCTAGCTGCTTCTGGTGAGACAACAAACCCCACCCTTGCTGGAGGCAGAAATTAGGCTCTCTTCTTTTTTGGTTTTAAAATAATTAAAAATAGATTTCTTTTTGTAGAATATTCAATAACTTTAGAAAATTCCCAGAACCTAGTGATGTTATGAAAATTATACATATAATGTCTAAGTTATAAACATATTGAAATGTTTGCACTAATATTGTTGGAAGCAAATACATTAAATATAACTATTTACCTTGGGGAGGTAGAATTTGGGGAACTCTGTTTTCTTCCTTGTCTGTTTCTAACTTGGTTTTTTAACTTTGTCACTGTCATGTTTGTCTAAATCCACTCTGATCACACCCCTTCTCCACGTCAGTTATCCTGCCTTCATCAGTTCATGCTCACGTGGACACAAGTGTGTTTGCAAAAACAAACTGTTTCCATGCTTTTGGGCCTTTCCTTACCCGTGAACTCAGTAGCTGGGAACATTATGGAAATGAATGAGTCCTAAGACAATTTCAGGAAGCAATCATCAGGCCAAACCTGTGCCTTTAGCTTCTGTGGAAGTAGGCAGAGGTGTCATCATCAATGACGTGATTTCCTTTTATGTGAAGCAGGGTGTGTCTATAGCCACCTCCTTCTTAGTTTGAAAACTTGTGACTCAGTACTTTCCCCATGTATATGAATCGAAAACATACTCATTGGTTACATAAAGTGCTGGCTGATATTTTATTCTATATTAGCAACATCTTTTGTTTCAAATGAATTGCAAATGAGCAATAATCTTGGCTTCCTTCCCTTCATTCCTTTCATTTCTCCAATTAATTTTCTGGTATAAGTTCAGTGTCTGTTTATCTATATGAATTGTAACTTTAATTTGGTGTTGTAGTCTTTCTTTTTAATTTCTTCTTCCCCACAGTGCACTAACGGACATCAAAATTCTCAACTTTACTCATATATATTTCTTCCTCTTTTTTTGAGGTTTAGACTATAATTACATAATTTCTTGCTTTCCTTTCTTTCCTCCTAACCATTCCATGTACTCCTCTTGCTCTTTATCAGATTCATGGACTATTTTACACTACTTATTGTTTCATGGATATATGTACATGTATATATGCAACTTTATTTTTAAAGTATGGTATAGTGTGATACATTTTTATATCAGTATATACAAGGCTTATTGTTTTATTTATATTTATATTATTATTATTGTTTTGTCAAGACTGGGTTTTTCTGTGTATCTCTGGCTGCCCTGGAACTCACTTTTGTTGTAGAATACATTTTAAGGTGTGTTACATTTGTTTATGCTGTGGAACATCTGTTTTAGCCATGCAAAAATGTGTTTCACACTTTTATATTGCATTTGTTTAACTCTGTGAAGCTATTCTTTGTCTAAAAACAGCTGATGATGTAATAAGATGGCCAACAGTTAGACAGGAGAAAGGATAGGCAGTCCTGGAAGGCAGAGAGAAAATGGAAGAAGAAATCTGAGGAGAGAAGGAGCAAGAGAACGAGAGGATGACTCCAGGGCCAGCCACCCAGCTACATAGCAAGCTACGGGAGCAAGATGTAAAGAAAGCGATACTGAAAGACAGAAAATGAAAGTCCAGAGGCTAAAGGTATATGGGTTAATTTAAATTGAGTAAAGCTGGCTAGAAAGAAGCTAAGCTAAGGTCAGGCATTTATAAGAATAAGAACAAGCCTCTATGTGTATTTATTTGGTAGCTGGGCCACAGCCCCTCAACCCCCAAAAAAGACCAAAGAGCAAAGAGTAAGAATAATAAGAGTAAAAAATGACCAACAGAGGCCTGAAGAGATGGCTCAGAGGTTAAGAGCACTAGCTGTTGTTTTTTTCCAGAGGTCCTGAGTTCAATTCCCAGCAACCACATGACGCCTCACAATCATCTAGAGTGAGATCTGGTGTCCTCTTCTGGGGTGTAGGCACAATGCAGACAGAAAACTGCATAATAAATAAATAAATAACCAACCAACAACGTTTTGGTGTTCCAACGTGGAGCTAGAGTAAAAGAAAATCCAAATACAGGGCTCTGTCTACTAGGCTGACCTCGAACTCACAGAGCTCTGTCTCCCTCTGCCTGCCATGCTGGGATTAAAGACATGTGCCACCACCGTCCAGCTATGCTTATTATTTTAAATAGCTGCATTTCATTACATGTTTGAAATTATAAGGCTTTACTATAAAGATTTAGCAGGCAGTTTTATCAGACAAGTGAATTTGTTGTCTACTCATTTTAGACTGAACTAGATATGACTTACTTTGAAATTAAAACTGTTATCCTCAATTCAGATACTATAACTTTTTATTGCTAACAATCACCATATAGTGATCCATTTTATAAATTTAAAAGGACACACAAAGAGGTAACATGCTCAAACGTGCTGATAACGTGAAAGAAGCTAAGATTCTCCTTTTACTGAATGAACTGAGAAACCACGGTGTGCAGGGGAAGAGTGCATGTGCGTTTGCTTTGGATTTTAGTGGATATTAACTCTGGAGCCTGAACTGTGTTAGAAAGTCCTCCAGAGTATTCTTGAGACTGTTTTCACATATAGTTATATACTGTGTAAGTTCACACACAGCCATTGAAATGATTTTCAATTCATCCTTTTGATTACATGAAGTAATGAATTTTTCAAAAATAGATGATATTCTACTCCCATAGTGGTTAGTTATGACAGGTATGCTCTGTATTCAATTTATCACCAGTAATGCAGGGGTGCTTCGTTGAGCGACGTTATGATCTCTCATAAGCTATTGAGAAAAATAGTCGACAAATATGAGCGCAGTCACTGTACTCTTCTAGGTTCCTGTTGCTTGATACTTGTGAATATTAAACACTCGAAACGGGGCTAGTGCCGCATGCTGAAAGGATGGTAGTGAAGTCACTGAACTAAACAACATACCTCATAAAGTTTAATTTTGCTTTTGCCTTCTTTTAAAAAGGACTAAGAAAATATTTTAGTGTTTTACATTTCTATTGGACAGTGTTGTACCAAATACCAGGAAAATATGCCCAATTTAACTACAGAACTGCATTTTTTTGTTCAAAGTGTTTTCATTAAATTATGCTGGCACTAGGGCTAATATTAGATGATTGAAGCACGGCACATTCCTTGTGGGACTGATGCTGACCCTGTCCTCATCCCACGACGTGTCCTCTGTCCAGGAACCACGGCTCCCGATAAAGAGCGCCATACTTCTGCTCAGCTACAGTTTAACTTTTGCTTGTGATATATGACTTGGAGCACATTTCTTTCCTTGTGGATGACTGACGGCTTTCTGGTAGTTGTGAGTCAAACCCGAGCGAGACAGATACAAGACTTCCAAGCTCACCTTCCACGTTCCTCATCTGTAATGCCACCGCAGGTTTAGGTCACCATTTCTCTTCTCTCTGGTAGTCTCGTCACAACACTTCTTATTGTATGGGAAGAGAACAGTGTATGGACACTCAACAGTGTCCGATATGTGAGACGCTATCAGTAGCAGAGGCAAACACTCTTACGGAAGCAGCTACACTCCTCCAGTCCCCTTTCTCTCTCTGGGCATGCGCAGACTGATCCAGTTTTGGACCTTGCTGTCCGACTGGTATCAGTCTTAGCTCCTGCCCGTCTTACCTGCCTCGAGTTTCTGGACCCAAGTGTTCTCTTCCGCAAAATTAAAATATCCTGATTATCTATAGAACTGTGGGAACAGATGATGGATGGTGAAAAAGAGTGGTCTGGAACAGCAGCAGTAACAGTATGTTGGACATCATTCTTTGGGTAGTACCATTGCTTTCTTCTTACTAGTAGACATGTATATTAAGGTTTTTTGTTTTGTTTTCTGAGACAGGGTAGCTCTGTTGTCTCCTGTGTCGCCCTGGTTGTCTTGGAACTTGATCTGTAGACCAGGCTGGCCTTGAACTTGAACAGAGATCTGCCTTCCTCTGCCTCCAGAGGGCTGGAATTAAAGGTGTGTACCACCATGCCCAGCTCAGTTAAAATTTAAAACTAAATTAATTTAATACTTTGTTTTTACTGAGTCCTGGATAGAATAAAGACACAGGCTTACTCACTAAAAATTTGAATTCTGGTGAATCTAACAACTGATGTCTTAAAATGACTTTTCATATCACAATTTCATATTACAGGTTGTTTGCATAAGAGGGCAAACCTTGTTCTGTAATTGAATAATGTTCTGAACAGGTTCACTTATCTACAAATTTTCTTGGCAGCTCACTCTAACTGGCTGTGTTGGCATGTTTTCCTTCCTCGGTGGTTTGTGTGTATAATTCAGTGAGGTATGCTAACAGTTCTTACTGCATGGTATCTACAGAAATGTGGGTAAAAGGTGGTGACTCAGATGAACATGGCAGCTGCAATTTTCCTGTTGACAAAACCCCACCCGTAATTGCGACCTTCTCTTCATAGGTGAGAAAGTGGAAACTGCTGTTTTTCAAATATCTCTTCCACTCATTTATTAGAAACTTTCATTAGGGTTTTAAATAATATATTACTTTGTGCTTAATCCGCAATTTAATGTTTATATTTCTGTTCAACAAGAAAACTTTTATCTGTGACATGTGGGACATCACAGTGCAGCAAGAAATGAGTCTGAGCCAGTGCTTCAACCCATGGCAAGCTCCACGGGAGCTCGGATTACTATTATTCAGGGTTGTAAACAGGATTTGCACATTTAAAGCTTTTCTTGTGACTAAGGCTATTAATGAGACGGCTGAGGGGAAGAAGTTCATGTTAGTGTGGTGAAGGAACGTAGTGAAGTGTTTGGGCATCATTTTTAAGAAACAAATCTGTAGTTTGCATGTCTGGCATCTTGTCAAAACCCTCTCACCATTATTGCTAACTGTGAAAATTGACTTCACCTAACAGAATTATTTAGGGCACCTCCTTTATTCCTGCTCATCCCAAGTCCCTTTTTTGTACTTTTTTTTTCCAGAATAAAACAAAAGAATGCATGTTGTCACTCCCACATGTGCAAGCATCCTAGGGCACTGTTAGACACAGGGCAGCGGACAGATGATTACTGTTTAAAACAACAAAATCCCAGGTGCAGTAAAACTTCACTAATTAACAGAACGCTAACTAATAAAATAATTTGACATCCAAATTCAGAATTCCACAGAAGGTAGTTTCTTTCACTATGTTAAAGAGAGGCAGAAGCTTATCTTGTACAGCATAGGGGAATTTTGAACCGAATTTAGCCATAAGTAATGTGAACCCTGTAAACTTCACAGTGTGTCAGCATTCACATTATTGCCTGACCTCAACCAGATTTTGATAAACAGGTGGAAGTATAATATTCTTGACTCCTCTGATTTAAGCTACTCAGGCTTAAAGCAGAAGGAGTCCACTTTGCTGACACACTCCAAGCAACAAGAAGTTGACCTCAGAGATTCAATTTCATTTATTGAACAACTGAAGATTGGCTGGACACCTTCAAAATAACTTGTAAATCTGATTTTTAAAGCTCAGAGGGTTGGTTTCTTTTCTTGGTTGTTTGGTTTTAGTGACAAGGTCTGCCTTTGTAGCTCAGGCTAACCTTGAACTCAGCTTTCTGGGTGCTGATTCTTTTAAAGTAGCTGCTACTTTCATGAGTCAAAATGACACTGCCCTCTTCTCCCCCCTCAGGCTTCAATAGAGTTTAAAAAATAATTACAGGGCAGCATATCTGGGATATTTATTTTGCGGTTTCCTTTTTGAGATTTGGAGATTTGTAGGGGTCCAACAAATACATTAAAAATTCCCTCAATTATATAATTTGGAATCTCTATCCATCCAACTATATTCCTTCCATTAAACCATAAGATCTGAAAAAAAAATCCTAGAAAATACTCCCTAGTTCACCATCTTTGCTTAACTAATTCAAGTAAGAAACAAATGAGAATTTAGGTAGAGGAGGCGAAGAATACAGAAGGAGAAATCGTGATGTCAAATACAACATGGAATTTAACTTAAAGTTAGACATAGAATTTCTTTAAACTTATTAATAAAACTGATATTTCTCTTTTCAATGACATGAAATTTCTCACTGGATACCACACCACCAAACTGAATCAATAATTACGTATTAGCAGGAGACTATGGCCATAAAATTACCATCTCACAGCACCCGCCCGCCTTCTCTGAGATTATGAAAAGCTAAAAAGACCTGTTCACCTGTTCCTAAGAAGTTGCCACACAAGGTTACTTCATTAACACAAAAATAATATTTTAATTTTAAAAGTCCTATGATGTGTAAACCCAGTAAGTCCTTAAAAAGGAAGATTTACAGTCTTCCTTTGAGCTGGTCACTTTTGCTTACCACATACCTAGGAGGCTGGGGCGGCTCCCTTGAGTCATTGGGTATGAGGTTATAAATACTCTCGGAAGTGCAGGGTGGGTCCATGGCCACCGAGGATTCCTTAACAACTACTCAACTTTTGACTCCCTATCCCACTGTCTCTGATCCTTTTCTCGCCGCTTTTTTCTTTTCTTGCTCTCTTAACAAGGAACTAAAATTTCTCTTTCGCATAATAATCTCCCTTTGACCCTTTCATAGCAACTCCTTTTCGGGAAGAACCTATTCTGCTCCTCCAGAGACTGCCTAGCGTTGTTGACCGCGTGGTTGCTGTGGAAACAGTTGCTAGGAAACGGGCAGCCTCGGGCTGGTTCTCTCTGGTCCCTGTTTTGTAACTCCCCCTGCTGCCTGAGAAATACTTAAGGACGTTCCTGCGCCTTTGGGAAAGACGACATGAAAATAATACCCCCACCACCACTCATTTTATTTTCTTTTATTATTCGGTGCATCTGGGAAGAAAACTTCTACAACAGGGAGCATTGCTAGTGCGCAGGCGTCACACAATAGTCTCCAACACGCGGGCCGCGCCCCTGCGGGGGCGGAGCGAGCGGCCGGGGGAAGGGGAGGAGCCGAGGGCCAGTGGGCGGGACTTGTTGGTCACGTGGCCGACCTAGCGGCGCAGTCGGCGCAGACGCAGATGCAGCGACTTTGGGGCGGGCGGGCCGGCTGAGGCTACCTTGGCGGTGCCGAAGCTGCTTCTCTTTCCCCTTCCTCTCCCTGGTCTTCTCTGGGTGGTTTACTTGGTGAGTTAATGAAGGAAGAAAGAAAGGCTGGCGCGGGTCGTTGCCCTCATATCCTTCCTTCCGTCGCCCCCGATCGGCCGCGCGAGGCCATCCACCTGTCGCTCCGGTCCCCGCGGCCCGCCCTGTGCTCCACTAGGTCTCGGGAGCGCGGGCGCGAGTGCGAGCCTGCGCCAGCAGGACCAGCTTTTAGAAGAGGGCCTCCGATTTTGCCCAGGTTTCAGCCCCCGCCCCATCCCCTTTTGACATTTCTTTTCGCTCTCCGAGAAGTGCTTTTATTCCTTTTTGAGCCATTTGCTCTTCCGTTCATGCTTATGCACTAGTAACTGCACGCTCATTTAGAAGCCTTGGCCCCAGCCACACTCTGTACTTTGGGAGAGAAAATCCGTAGCTCTGAATCCACTGGGAAGGTGTCCAGCAGGGAAGTCGGAGCGCATCTCTTCTGCAGTCCTCACTACCTAGTGGATGGGTTAACCGGCCTGGTGGCTTCGGGAGCTTTTCGGTTCCTACTTGGAAGGTTTCGCTCAATGCAAATCCTAATCTGAGACTCCTGCTAAATTTTACTTTATAAGAATAAAGAATAAATTTAATTTTCTGTTTTTTGGTTTGATAGGATTTAATTTTTCTGGGTAGTCCATAGTTCAAATGAATGACTTGGAGGAAAGAGTCTCCTTATTTCACATCAGATTGAGTTTTTAAGAAAAACGTTTTGTATAAATTTAGGTATAAACAGAGATTACCCATTTTTGCCTTGGAAAAAATGGTTGCTCTTCTTTTTGTTTAACATGTATAGAACAAAATTCTCCAGGGGAGTTTGCTCCTGTGCTTGCTAAAGTTTGAATTATGAATTCATAGAATTAATCAACTTGCTAGTCATTAGCCAAGACATATATACCTTCCTGACCTCAGGATTGAACCCAGGGGTTCAGCTATGCTAAGCCAGTGGTTGGAGGCACCAGTGATGCGCCAAGGCTTATATTTGTTCTAATTGGAAGGAGTCGATATGTGGGAAAAGATGTAAGAATGCAGCCTTCAATAAAGGGAATGGCATAAGCTAACTCACATTATTCATATATTAGATGTGTTAATGTCCTGTTTGCTCAAGTTTATTTATAATCCCCCAAATCAATATCTGACCACACATTTTAGTCATTGGTGAGCTTGCACATGGCATTGGAAGTTTTGAATGTGGTACATGCACATTCTCAGCTGAAGTCAAAGGTGTTGGTTGTCTTGTTTGGGGTTTCAGTAACAGATGCTCTTTTTACGTTTTGTTTGGTACCACAGGTTCTGCATTCTCATGCTTTCAGTGGCCACTCAGACAGGGCCTAAACTGAGTACCCAGTTGCTCTATAGTGATTCCAAGTATGAAGAGGCTGGTGTGTTTTACAGAGAAAACAGGTATGCCAAGATGAGTTTCATTTAGGCATCAGTTAGAGTGTCCCTGGCTTAGTTCATAGTAACTAATAAGCAGTGTATGTAATGTCATTGAACAGATATGCATATGGAATAACATTAGTATAGTCATTCATTGGGAAAAAGGATTGAACCTAAAGGCTCGTAGGAATCCACCCCGGCATTTCACCTAAGAATGAATAGCGAGTGGCCTTGCACACCCGTTCAGGGAGAGAGGCGGCATTGTAACACCTAACTCCGGAATGAGAAGCAACTGTAGTGAAGACCCAGTTTACAGTTGAGAATTATTCCATCTTCTTTTGTCTTTTAATTAGCTTACCTGGGGCAGAGAGGCTTCAAAGTTATTTTCATGACTAAATATTACAAAACAAAATTTAGCATGTAGTTTACAGTTTTTCTTTAGCAAGGGTTCTATTGGGCTTGTCACGGCGCTTGCTTGCCTTCTGCTAGCCTGAAGAGAACATTTACTGTGAAATGATGCTGAAGCAGAACTTATACATTCAACTTTTTAATAGTCTTGTTTTTACTTTGCTCTCCCAATGTCGTTTGGAAAAGGGAAATGAGATAAGGTTTAAAATGGGAGCTTGGGGGAGGTGTGGCCAAGAAGACTGGAGAAGATAAGGGAAGTTAATATGCTTGTGTTTGCTTTTCCACTGTCTGCTCTTTATGGGATGGATATCAAGCAATCAATGTAAAGTTGAATCAAACATGGAAGATTAATTGTCCATGAAAACAATAAAAACAAACCAGCAACTCAGGTATTTCACAGTCCCGGGAGTGTGTGTGTGTGTGTGATGTGAGTTGTTTGATGCATGTGTGTACCTGCGAGTGTACCTGTTATAAATAGATTAATTATGCTGTTTTGCACAGTGTCCTTAAAAGCAGGTAGTACTAACCACAGGGTACCAGAGTGCAGTTTTATAAATTACTGAGTGATTTAAGTTAAAATTTTCTCCAGCCTTTGCTTTACTCTACAGAGTATATCAGAGTGCATGGCAAAATTGTTTGTGACTTAGGGTAAGCACCATTGTTCTCTCTGAAAATTTATAAATGATATGCTTAGCCTTATCTCTGGATAATCCGGTTTGGTTTACAGATTCTTTGATAGTTGTCGTTGACTGGCAATGCTTATTATTAATATTTTTGTGCTCGTCACCAGAATATACACTTTGAATTTATCACAGACCTGTTTCAGTAGCTAAGATGTGTATGTGGGTGGCAGGGGCTTGCAGGCTTTTCATGGTAATTTGGGTGGATAAGAACATCTGAAAGAACAATTTAGGTCCTTATTTCATAGCTTTTAGTTCACTGGTCAGCCCCTCATTAAACATCTAATTAAATGACTAAAATCACATGTCACTGTGAAAGATTTTGCAGTTATTATTATTTGGTTATATTGTCTTTTATTGTATATGTACGAGTGTTTTGCTCACATAGATAGCTGTGTATCATGTGCCTGTCTGGTGTCCAGAGAGGTGAGAAGAGGGTACCAGATCCTGGGAACTAGATTGACAGATGGCTGTGAGCTGCTGTGTGGGTGCTGGAAATCAATTCCAGGTCCCAGGCAAGAACAAGTACTCTTCCCTTCTGAGTCATCTCTCCAGTCCTGGTTATGGTTATGTTGTCTTTTATTGCTTAATGGTAAAAATGCCTTCTTTGTTGTTAGCAAAGTTCTTTGCTGTTATACTATAAATGTTGCAATAAAGAAAAGCCCAATATCTTAATCATTCGGTAATAGATGGATTTACAAATTTCAGGTGCCATTTTGAAGTATTTATGTATGATTTTATGATACTGTATAAAGTTGTGATTAACTTGAAATTTTTTTTCATTGTAGACCCTGCTTTCTTCAAAGATTGGCTTTGCCTTGGTCTTGCTAGACTCTTCATCTGTGGTTCCTGTTATTTTGTGTTTATACTTCAATGGAGTTAGACACAGCAGCATACAAAGTCAGTGGGCAATGAATTCTTTCTCTTGATAGGTCGAAGTGCTTGTAAGTAAAATTCAGAATTAACTTTTTTAAAAATGGTCTGAAGATTTTATTGCAAAACAAAGTTTAGGTAGTATCAACAGCAGTATACTGTTAAAATTTTTTTATAGTTTTCTACTTAATTTTTGATATAGTTGACTGCATATTAGTTCTATCAGAGAGCATGCCTATAAATTTATATCAGTCAATTTAAGAAATATTGCAAGCTATTTAGTTAAATTTTATTATAGGAAAATATTTGATATCTGGCATGTTTTGCTTTAAGGATGAGTACATTTCCAAAGGCAGGTGCAGGATTGATGCGAACAATTGTAGATCATGTCCATATGCCAAAAAAAGTTTTCTTTTCATCGCTGAATATCCTCATGAGTTTCTTTACTTCTCTGAAGTCTAGAATTAAGTCTTACCATTAACGATGATTACAGGAACATGAACGGAAGTGAAGGCCTCATTAATTAGTCTTTATTCATTTTGGCACATTTTCCATTTCACTATGGCCTTTTAAAGGCATCGAATATAAAAATGTCAACGTGATCCTCAAGAGTCTGCAGGTTAAAGACACATAGGGAAGAAAAGGGCACATGTGGAATTGCAGCTTAGAAAATTGTTTATGCATCTTATAAGCAAGTGTGCTTGTTTATTCTAATTTCCTGTTGTGGATTTTATGAGAAAATAATAAATAAGGATAGTCTATCAACATGATCATCAAGACAAGTTGAATATTAAGAGTGTGTCTCAGCTTTTATGAGTTGCAGGTACTTGTTACTACAACTGCACATTTTCTCCGTGTGTGTTATAAGCCAACAAATCGTGACCCTGTCTTTGTCACAGTGCTCCTACAAGGAAGAGAGATGGCAGTGGGACTTACTGTGTCTATGAAGACGCGCGATAGGACATTTTCTGAATAAGATTTCTGCTGTTAACATTTGCTTTGTATCGTACTGGGAGTCATACATATTTTTTTTAAAACTTCATTTTATTGGTGTCTTGAAATTTGAAAAGATATTAACAAACACTGTGTGTTTTTTCTGACAACCAAATTGACGTAATAGTAGAAGAGGGGCTGGGAGGGAGGGAATGGGAGAGGAGAGGCAGAAGGGATGGGAAGGGGTGGAGGAAGGGCAATCCGAGTTTAATGAAAGCATGATGGAAATGGCTCAGTGTAGCCCATTGCTTTGTGTAATTGATATGTCATTTTATTAAGAAAGGTCGTATACAGTGTATCTCGTATAATACTTCTTAAGTGTCAATCAGTTTGAAGTATTTTGAACGTCTTATGAAGGCATGAATATATTCAATTCTATCGGGATTTTAACCATTTCTTGAAATAAGTAACTAAATGTCTTTATGTCTTTAAAGGGTCTAAAGTCAACCCTAGGTTGGCTCGGGCAGAAAAGTGGGAAGAAATGCTGAACTTTACCAGATGTCAACATCTGAAACAGATAACGCAGAAGTGTTTTTCTAGTGCACCGGTTAACGTGCGGACTCACACGCAGCGCTTGCTCTCACAGGCCTTTGCATATGCAGGATCAGGGAAGTCATGGCACTCAATCCACTCTCTTGTTGGAGACAAAAATATTATCCTGATGGGGCCTCCTGGTGCAGGGAAAACGACAGTAGGCAGAATAATAGGTCACAAGCTAGGCCGCTGTGTCATTGACGTGGACAGTGACATCCTTGAGAAAACCTGGAAGATGAGCGCTTCTGAAAAATTGCAGGATGTTGGTAATGAGCAATTTTTAGAAGAGGAAGGAAAAGCCGTTTTAAACTTGTCTGCATCTGGAAGTGTGATTTCCCTCAGTGGGTCCAATCCCATGCATGATGCTAGTATGTGGCATCTGAAGAAAAATGGGATTGTCGTGTACCTGGATGTGCCTCTAGTGGATATAATCAGTCGTCTGAAATCAATAAAAGTTAGCAGGATTGTCGGTCAGAACTCGGGAGCATCTATGAGAGACTTACTGCAGCACAGAAGACTGTACTATAAGAAGTGGTACGACACGCGAGTCTTTTGTGAGAGCGGGGCTTCCGCTGAGGAGGTTGCAGACCGAGTGCTGGATGCGGTGAAAAGATACCAAGATGTGGATTCAGAGACATTCATTTCAACAAGGCACATGTGTCCTAAAGACCTTGACAAGAAGCCTCCACCAAAATACTTCAGTGAAGCTGTGATTGAGGGATTGGCTTCTGATGGCGGACTCTTTGTCCCTGAGAAGGAGTTTCCAAAATTAAGCTGTGGGGAGTGGAAAAGCCTAATAGGAGCGACCTACATAGAGAGAGCGCAGATACTTCTGGAAAGGTGTATTCACCCTGTGGACATACCTGCCACCAAGTTGGGAGAAATGATTGAAACTGCTTACGGGGACAACTTTGCCTGCTCCAGAATTGCCCCTGTCCGGCACCTGTCAGGCAATCAGTTCATCCTGGAGTTGTTCTATGGGCCCACGGGGTCCTTCAAGGATTTGTCTCTACAGCTCATGCCTCATATCTTTGCCTACTGCATCCCACCAAGTTGCAATTATGTGATCCTTGTAGCTACTTCAGGAGACACGGGGAGTGCAGTCTTAAATGGGTTTAGCCACCTTAGTACAAACGACAAGCAAAGGATCGCCGTGGTCACATTTTTTCCAGAGAATGGAGTTAGTGATTTTCAAAAAGCACAGATAATTGGCAGTCAGAGAGAAAACGGATTGGCAATAGGTGTCAGGTCAGATTTCGATTTTTGCCAGACAGCTATAAAAAAAATATTTAACGATTCTGATTTTACTGGCTTTCTGACTGTGGAATATGGAACAGTCTTAAGTTCAGCAAATTCTATAAATTGGGCTCGGCTGCTTCCACAAGTAGTTTATCATGCATCTGCCTATCTTGATCTTGTTAGCCAAGGGTTTATTTCCTTTGGAAGCCCAGTAGACGTTTGTATCCCCACAGGAAACTTTGGGAACGTGTTAGCCGCAGTCTATGCCAAGATGATGGGGATCCCTATCCGGAAATTTATCTGTGCCTCTAATCAGAACCACGTTTTGACGGATTTCATAAAAACTGGACATTATGATCTAAGGGATAGGAAATTAGCACAAACCTTCTCACCATCAATCGATATTCTCAAATCTTCAAACCTGGAGCGACATTTATACTTGATGGCTAACAAAGATGGACAGTTAATGGCAAATTTATTTAATCAGTTAGAGAGCCAGCTTCACTTCCAAATAGAGAGGCTGCTGGTCCAGAAGCTGCAGGAGGACTTTGTCGCGGACTGGTGTTCGGAGGGAGAGTGCCTCGCAGCCATCGGCACTACCTATAACACGGCAGGGTATATTCTGGATCCACACACGGCTGTTGCAAAGGTGGTTGCAGACAAGATGCAAGACAAAAGCTGCCCGGTGATCATCTCATCGACAGCTCACTACTCAAAGTTTGCACCCGCTATCCTGCAGGCCCTGAAGATTAAAGAGCTCAACGAAACGTCATCAAGCCAACTTTACTTACTGGGCTCATACAATGCATTACCACCTCCTCATGAGGCTTTGTTAGAGAGAATGAAACACCAAGGGAAGACAGACTACCAGGTTTGTGCAGCTGATGTGAACGCCCTGAAGAGCCATGTGGAAAAGATGATCCAAAATCGGTTCATAAGGAAGTCTGAGTAGAGTATTTTTCTTGGCAAGAAGCAAAAATAAATCTTGAGCGTTGGTTGGGACTACAGTAGCGTTTTGTTTTGTGTAAATGTTTTGTGTGCATCTGTTGGAAATCCAGCGCCCTGACCCCTGGGCCTGACCTTCCACCTGCAGTGACCCCCAGGTCCTCCAGAAGAGACCTTCCAGCATCGCCTCTGGAACCTGGTGCTGTCGAGCTTCATTCTCTGCTTAGGGGGGATATGGCAGCTTCTCCACCCCCACTTCTGAGAGGAACAAATACTGGTATCTGGCTTGGCATTTACAAATCTTTAAGCACAGTTAAGTACTGCATCTATAGCCTTTTACTGTTTGTTGTTCAAACCGTTTGCTGCTTGAGATAGTTAACTCCCATAGCAGAAACAGGAAGTTAGTTCATTAATATTGGAGCCATCTTTTTTTTAATCACTTCAAGCTCCAGCTTGGACAGTGGTTGCTTACATGTCTCCACCCTGTTCAGTTAGAGTTGGCGGACTGTTCACTACCCTTAGAATATTTGTAGTTAGGCTGAGGAAGTCTGAAAGTCGAGTCAGCATTTAACTCTAGGGTGTAGCAATCAACAGAACTGTGGAGTAGTATACAGAAATAAAATCATCTACTTCAAGAGGAAGGGGTTCCAAAATCAGTAATGTTTGAAAGTTTTAATAAAAGTACAATGATAGACAACAGCTTTTCTATATTATTCAAAGTCTATTCCTATTTGCCTAAAATTTAATAAACATTTTGAGGCACCTAACTCACTCAAAGCAAATGCTTAATGTCCATTGCTGTATAGTGGCAGTGATTTTTAACTGCTCTGTGTGTATTTCCTGAATATTTACTTTCTGGATTACAGGTTGTCACTGACCTGCAGTGTCTCCACCACAAGACGGTATTCCCTGCAGAGTGTCTTTGCTGATGACGTTCTGCATCTAGTTAGCTTAACTTAATTTGAAAATTAAAATGATGAAAAATATTAATAGTTTTAAAGGGCAAGGGGCAATTTGTTTTGCAAGTTTGAAATTAAACCAATTTGATTTTAGCATCAGATCTCTGGCTTGGCTTTTAAAACATAGTTCTACAACCTGTCATGGAGGCTGGGAATGGCCCTGGTTCAATGCTTGCCTAGCGTGCACAGAACTCTGAGTTCCAACCTTAGCACATAGGAAGGTAGAAATAGTGCTTAAAAGACATGTTAAGCTACATAGTTTGAGGCCAGTCTGGGATACATGAGATCCTGTTTTAAAAAAATGCCAGAAATGAAAAACCTGAAGCAGTTTATGATGATGGAGTCGCAAAGCTCCAGGTGTTTGTGTATACAGTCTATAATTTCAGAACATTTGCTTCCATGGATAGAGTTAGAGAATTATCCTAATGCTGCCGTGTGCATAATAATGCATTCTTGGAAATAATGGGATGACGTTAAAATGCTTGATTTTTGGACTCAACGACTAATGGAAGAACACATGGCGTCTGCGTGACATACAACAAAGAATAACCACAAAATGTGTGAATAAATAAAAAGCAGGTGGTGCGGCCAGGTGGGGTAGAACCGAGCAGAAAAAGGACTAAGGTGTGGGTGTGGTGGCACACACATGTGGTCCCAGCACCGGGGAAGCTGAGGCAGGAGGACTGCGAACTTGAGGCCATGTGCTACATAAACGAGCTAACAAGAGGAAACATTGCTGTAAGGCAAGCAGGTTCCACAGAGATGGAGTCCTGGGCGCAGTTTTTGGAGCAGGCAATGGAGAGAAAATGCCGCTGTCTGCCTGCTTTGCTCTCGCTTGTGGGCTTGTGTCTAAATGGTTACCTCGTGTCTCCATGTGGTGTGTGGTTTTCCCATCACCCCTCAGCTTTTCTTTTTGTGTTTGTTTTGAGACAGGGTCTCACGATGTAGCCCTAACTAGCCTGAAATGCCCTATGTCGAACAGGCTGGCCACAACCTCACAGATCCTCCCGCCTCTTTCTCCCAAGTGCTGGGATTAAAGGCGTGGATCAACACCGCCCGGCTCAGCTCCCCTTGCATAGGGTGGATGAACAGCAGTGTTTGTACCCTCTCCCGTGTGATTGAGGCGGTAGTCATCCTTTCAAGGGCTTGCAGCTGAGCCTTGTGCCCGGTTTCCTTCACCTCGGGTAATGTGCTTCATTCCTCTCCTGTTTCCTCAGCTTCTCCTGGGAGCCTGACTTCCTGTGCATTTAGATGCTCCTTTCAGAGTTTCGCATTCAAAACAAACCTTGCCAAGCACCCACACTTCTACCCAACTAAGCTTCTGCATGTTCTACCCAAAATGTAGTGCTGCCAAAGGCTATGTGATCCCCTGCTCTCATCCCCACTGCCGTGTGCTGCAGGGTGGGTAGTGAAGCCTGAGGTGCTCGAGTCTCTGGGGTGGAGAGCAGAGACTGCCCCTCTTAGCATTTATTCCTCCTCCTAAGAAGTAGCTATCCCAAAGGTCATGTTAGTCAGCGTGTGCGTGCGTGTGTGTGTGCGCGCGTGCGTGTGTGTGTGTGTGTGTGTGATATTTGCTTTGTTTAGTTTTGAATTTATTTATTTATTTATTTATTTATTTATTTATTTATTTATTTATTGAGACAGGGTTTCTCTGTGTAGCTTTGGAGCCTGGAACTCACTCTGTAGAACAGCCTGGCCTCCAGCTCACAGAGATCCTCCTGCTGCTGCCTCCCAAGTGTTGAGATTAAAGGCGTGCGCCACCACTGCCCAGCGAACTTCTTCAATTTTATGTAAATAAAATCATATTGCATCATCTATTTACTGCAGCTGAACAACTTTAAAACTATGACGGCCAGATGAATTAAGGTATGGCTCATTGACTTTCCTTAGTATAAAATAATATATATATATAATATGTAAATATCACAATATGCTTACCAATTTGTGAGTGTTTTACTAATTTTTCTCTATTCTTGTATCCAATGAGTATATCATTTTGTAAAATTCTAATAATGTGTTTTATCTTGACATTACACTAAGAATGTATATATGAAATTATTTTACAATTTCATGCCTACGGTGTATTTATAAGACTTTGAAAAACAGATAAGAATTTTTTGTTTTGTTTTTTGAAACAGGTTTTTCTGTGTAGTCCTGGCTGTCCTGGAACTCTCTCTGTAGATCAGGCTGGTCTTGAACTCAGAGATACCTGTACCTCTGCCCCTCCTGAGTATTAAGATTAAAGATGTGTGCATGACCACTGGGCTACAAGTAAGGTTTTTAATTGTGCATTTTAGAAATTATAAAATGATTTAATCAAAATAAAGTTAAAACAGTTCTGTATGATGTTTTAGAGTTTAAAAGTTAGCCACTGGAAAATCATGGATGGTGCAGTGTTGCCCTAAATCCACTGGGACACCTAGTTTATAATTCAGACTGCTTGTTGTCACCACAAAAAAAAAAAATAGATTTTATGTCACCATCAAATCCATGAAATGTTATCTGCTTTTGTTTTCATCTAGTAACATAAATGAAATCTAGATATGAAGTAATCATTTTGGGGGGCTCCATCTACACTCTAATTATTAAAGTCATTAGCTTTATCTCTTCGATATTTTTTCTTAAAAGTAGATTGTTTCAAAGACAAACTTGTCACTTAAAGCAAAGCAAAGAAGTAGCAAATGTAACAGAAGAGAGAACCGTCCAAGAGAAGACATCAAGCAATATTTTGATAAAAGTAAAGTAGGTTGCTTCCTGCTGAAGTTTGCTTTTGGTTGTTAGCTGTCTTTAATTTGTGAGTCTGGGGGCTGGAGAGATGGCTTGGCTGTCAAGTGCACTGGCTATTTTTCCAAAGGACCCAAGTTTGATTGGCAGCACCCACATGGCACCTCACAACCATTTGTACCTCCAGTTCCAGGGATACAGTCCTCTCCTGGCAAATGCAGGTACCGGGCATGTGCCCGGGGCACAGACATTCATACAGCAAAACACGTTAAAATAAATGTTCTAGGAGACATGATGACATACGTGGAATCCAAAGCTTAAAATTTAAGTGAAAGTTAAATAGGCAAATGGGACCGGAGAAAACATGGCCCAGAGTGTGGTATGTAGTGTTCATTTTGAAACAAAGGGTGTCTGGAGTTTTGAAGATGAGGCTAGGAAGGCAAGATCCGTTTTGATTTGATTTCTGAAAGCTATGTGATGTCACTGAGGAAGTTTAAGTTGAATACTGTAGTCCTTTTTTAAAAATTACTTTATGAGTGTGTTTTGCTTGCGTCCTCAGAGGTCAGAAGAGGTCACTGGGTTTCCTAGCACTGGAGTTATGGACAGTTCTGAGCCACCATGTGGCTGTTGGGAGTCGAACCTGGGCCCTTTGCGAGAACAAATGCTCTTAACTATTGAGCCGTCACTCCAGATCCACCATAACCCTTTTATTTTAGAGAGATCGTGTTGGCTGCTAGGTAGAGGTAGAGGAATTAAAATTTACAGGTCCAAGACCAATTAGAAGGCCAGAGCCTGGGCCGAAGCGCACAGCCTTTCTCTGCCTGTCTCCTGTCTTCATATGCTGTCCCACCCTCCTCCCAGCCTTCTCTCCAGCACGACCACTTCTCTATGGTTGCCATATTCCAAAAGCAGAAATAGAAACTGTAAGGCTGACTAAGGCATAGGATGATCCAGAACACCTCTCCTACTGCACTGTATGCTTGCAGCAGCTGGCAAGTCCAGTTAGGTTCAAGGTGTACAGAAACAAGTTGCCCCTTGAGAGTGGAGTAGCAGAGTCACACAGTAAAGGAATGCTGGATGAGGCCATCCATGGGCCGTTTTATACACTCTAACACAGTTATAACAAGGGGGCATTACACCAGGAAGACAGTTCCTCGTTCATGATTTGAGAATTCTAACACTAATAATGTTGATTCCCATACCTCATAGTATTTGATCATATGGCCTTTCTTTATTAAACAGAATTGGGATTCTGTCTTTCTTTGGTGAAGATTTGCCATGCTTAAGTTCAGAATATACACAAGTTCATGCCGTTTGTTAACCTCCCTTCAAAGCTTCACCAGAGGACTCCACTGGCAAAGCCTTTGCTAAGCAAGATG